TGCAGAACAATATTCGAGACACTGACATTTTCTCAGTGGGAGTAATCTGGTTTCGGCACACGTGTGTGTGACAGCTCCGACTTAGAAGGGAAATGAATTTCTGATCAATATCTCTCTATGACATTTATTCCCCTACCTGAATGTCATAAACAAAGCAATGAGCAGCTTGTGATCACAAAATGTAATGTTCACAACGGTGTAACCTCAAAGCGAGTCAAACAGCGACCCTTTAGAACGGTAATGAGTGCATATTTTGTGCCAAACCCTCGTTTTTTTCGGGGGAATTCCTTTTTTATTTTGTTCTGACTTCAATTTAAATTGCTCATCTAAACAGAAGGCGCCAAATATCCCTGCAAAATTCAGGGATTCATATGTCCACCGAAGTAGACAGATCTTTTATGTGTAGTATAACCGTAATGGAAAAGGAGGGCTTTCATCTTTCAAAGGGCAGGATTTTTGGCTGCCAGCTAAGAATTTGTAGGAACTTAGAAAGCTTTGAAGTTCACAAGTGAAACCTTAAACTGGCAGAGATTCGGTTTGTGTAATCAGTAGACACAACGTCTCTGCAACGGAAGATCCGAGCCGTCATTGCCGTTTACTACCGCTTCACAGTCACCCCGCTGAGAATCCACTGAAAGCAGACCTCCGTCCCCCCCGCGGCCGCACGAAACGGCCATTTGACCGCAGTGCTCACACCTCACAGACGTCTGATCGCTCCTATTGATTGCTTTCAGATTTAGAGTCAATCCATGGATAGGATATCTTCCACGGATAAAAGCCCGGCTGATATTCCAGATAATAACCTCAGGTGATGTATTTCGGTGTAAGACAGATCGCTCCCGTCCACCATGATGAAAACCAAAAGCTTTGAACTTTTTTTGTTTGAGTTTGTGAGTGGTTTCAGATCATTGCATAAGGTAGAAACTGAAACTTGTCCCGCTCATCTTTGAGTCAGGCTAAAGCTTTGGTTTTGTTCAAACACTTTAAACTTCCCTTTTCATTCACTCATGCACGTATTCACAGCAGAGAGGGGATTTTGATTTGATTTGAAAAAATGAAATTAAAATAAGCTTTATATGACGGAACATTATTGTTGGTCACACTCAGCAGAGAGAGGAAGTAAGCAAAGCCGAACATTTCACAAACCGGAGACTCTTTTCTCAGGAATTGGTGGAGACCAAACCGGAGGTAAAACCTAAGCTGTGTTGTATTAACACGGGGCTGCTTTTCCACAGCAGTACATTACATTACATTACATTACATGTCATTTAGCGGACGCTTTTATCCAAAGCGACGTACAATAAGTGCATTCAACCATTGCTTTGCTCCCATCCTGGTTCTCCCGCCTGTTTCCCCAAACACTGACTGTGGATATCTACAACTCCACTTCAACACAGATGGACTTGAATTCATTGCAATGGTTCCCTCACATGTTTCCTGTACACGCATGTTCACGTTTGAAATAAGGCCCTTGTACGTTTTTTTTACCCCGCCTACTGCAGACAACTACCGCGTTGTTTTCTACTTAAAGCTGGTTAAATAAAGATCAGCGGGTCTGCCTGATGGAATGCACACTGCACATCCCTGCTATTTAAGCAGCCACTATATACCCTGCAGGTAGTCCAGGGCTGAGATTGGATTCATTTTAACAGGCTAAGAAAACCTGCTGTAGATTATAGGGGGACTTTTGAGACGCTCAGCAGCCAGGAGGTAGGCAGTAGCTGCCCTTGATCCCTGCGAGCACAGTTTCATTGGCTCATTGCCCGAGGAGGAAATAAAAACAAAAAGCAGAGGAAAGCGCATGCTGCAGGCGGCAGCCGAAGGGGTCTAACGCTGTTAGTTTCTAGATATTCCACTGTGCAGGGCTGTTTTTCCGCAAATTAACTAGAATTGCAGCGAGCGAGGAAAAACAGCTGTGACGTCTCACCAATGCCTGGATTAAAGCTAAGCTCCTTTGCTCGACTGTATTGGTTGCTGTGTGTCCATCCAAGAGTCAGAACAGACACAACACTGAACGTCAGCAGCAGCAGCAGCATCAGACCTGTTTTCACTGCAGTATAAAAAAAAATAAACAACCTCATAAATCCTCTTGGATTTAGTATTATCATACAGGCTGCACACCGCATTTATCACAGTTTATTAGTGCACTATCTGAGGTTGTAACCATAGAAACCGGTTCGAGGTGCATCACTGGCCTTTCCCTCATTTGAAACGGGAAGCGTGACGTCAAAGTAACCGCAGTTTTCCCTCCGTTGGAGTTTTTCCTTTCATTCAGAGTGGCGAGGGCCATGCTTGACAGATAACAGGGTGAGTCATCGGCACCATCGTACACCTCTGCTGAGCCACAACACATGTATCAAATCCATCTATAATGAATATCTTCCCGTCCTTATCGCCAAATACGCACACAAGAAGAGGTAAACATTACTCTTTTAACGGGATCCTTTCAGTCGGTCATGAAACGCGGTGGGCCTCGTGAATGAAGATCGGATGTTTAAATTCCGTAGTTTTTATTGAAAACTGCAGAAAAAAAGCGAAAATTCCCCTGACTAATGTTTCTCTGACTGACTATATACTATATTTTTGCAGGTGTACATACAAACATACATTCTGTTATGTTACATTGTTATTGTTAACGATATATATAGATATATATATATATTTGTGTATGTGTGTATGTATAAAAACAACCGGGTGATAAATTCTAAGTTTCTCTGGCATCTTGTGGAGGTATCTCCCTGCTGACCAGCCTCGGCTTCCTGTTTTCACTAATAAGGCCCCCGGGGGCTCATTGGCTGAGCTAAGCGCACATTGTGGTGCTAATCACCAATGACCCACATGACGCTGTAAACCTCATAGATCTGTCAGCGCACTGCATTCTCAGATTAGTTTCGACAGAAGTTGCCAGTCGTGCCCATTTCGTTTATTCTCACGGAGGACCCTTAACTCTCAGCGCTTCATTTCGGACTTAAATCCTAACTCTGTTTTCCGTAACAGTGCGGTTTGCAGGCGTAACGCTGCACACCCTTCATGTAAAGGGATGTGTCGCGCTGGTCAGGCGGTGTGTCTACAACTTGTGTTTCCTTTGTAGGATAACACATTGTTTGGGATTCATGCAGTTTTGAATTGGCACATATGGCCGTGCCTGCATCGAAATGACTCACTGCTGTGTGCGTCACAACTGAAGTGGGTGTTTTCTCTGTTTAAGAATAAATAAATATGTAGTGATGATAATAAGTAAGGGGTTTTACTGCTGAGTTACTATTTACAAACCCAGCTCTGCCACATTTTCAAAGACAGATTATTAAAAGGTCAGCAGGCAGGACGTTGTGTGTGCGATTGGTGCACGCTGTGACGTAACACGCAGCCCCACGAATACTGCGTAATACTTTCAGATATGGGATAAGGAAAAGCGTGCATGGACGACACGTAGTTAAAGTATGTCCATGTGCTGCACGAGCTGTGCAGTGGATCGTTTAGTGATGGTTTCACATTCTTGGTAAGCCACCAAAACACACGACATAAGCACGTCAGAAGGATCCGTATCTAATCGACCAGATGTGGAGCATGAGGCCTGTTTTAGAAAGGTCATCACCTGGTGCGACCTAAGCCGTGTGCTGTCTGTCCACAACTGTCTTCTTCTCTGTCTGTTATGCAACTCGTCTGTTAATAACCCGCAGTGGTGTGCAAAAACAAGTCGGTGAGACTTGGGCGCTACGGTCTAAAATAGTTTTGACTGGCTCCTAAAAGATCTGCATCTACTTATTGATGGCACTATATGCTAGCGGGTGTGGGCGCTACTTTCTCCTGTCCCGTGCTCAGGGATGCGGCTCAGGTTTCTGAGGCCTCGGTTCAGTGGCTGCTTTCACACGCCTGTGACGGTGCACAAGGTCTCCAGAGAGGAGAGGTGAAAGGGTAATCTGATGCCACAGTCTCCCAGTAACTGGTGACACAACTAATTCTGTTAGACAGACATAAAATGTTCCATTGACACCCACCAGTTTGAATTATTCATAACTTGACAAAACACACTCCTGCAGTAGGTGTGATCTGCAGGAAGCAGAACATCCTTCTGCATTATTGCTGTTTATTAAACTGATTAAACTCTAAATTAATTTGTCTTAATTCTTTTTTTTGTCTTTGTTAGATTCAATAAAGTAGGCCACTTCTAAATCAGCTTTTTTTTTTAAACGTAGTCAAGCTGTCATTGCATTCTTTCCCTCTCTGATTCTCTCTCTCTCTCTCTGACACAAACACCTACAAACCTACACACACACACACACACACACCCCTCCCTTTGGAGCCAGAGCCTCCACAGAGTAACTGATAATGGACCATTGTGCACCATGCGGTCACAGGAGCCAGATGATTGAAAACCAAATGAACTTTCCTTCTGAGTGACTCTCGGGTAAGCTGAAGCCTTCGCCGGCTCACAGGTTCATACCGATTTCAAATTCTTGTCTGCTTTAAGCCGAAGTTACAGGTGTTGATTTGAGGGTGCGAGTGAGGTGTTTGGTACAGCAAAATGTAATGGACACAGAGAGCAACTAAAAGAGAACGAATTTACTTACAGTGTGCACTTTGTATTGTGATATCACAATTATTTTGTATTTATTCTCACACGTTTGTTGAAATACTCTCAAAACATTTAAAAAGAGGCTGTGATACAAAAAATCAAACATTTAGTGCTCATCCTGATGGAAATATTATACCGCTTCTGCTAAAAGGAGTCATCACTTGATCAGTGTGCGAACGCGTAACATAATTATGAGCACAGTCACCAAATGTCATGCACACGTTACAAAGCCTTGAGTTTCTGTAGGATGTTGACCAGCTTGTCTCTGCTTTTCTTGAAGCTTGCAACGACCAGATTGATTTCCTGACTGATGTAAATCATCGTTTATGATCTTGGCTCTTTCACTCTTCGCCCCCTTTGTGATGTTGATGTTGAGTGTTGTTGAGTGAGTGTTGTTTTTTTTGTTGTCTTTGTTTACATGCAGGGAGCCTGATATTCCAGCCTGGGCTCCTTTACTCTACCAGCTCCAGCTGCTGGACGTCAGAGAGAAACCGGACCCGCTAACTCTGCCCGTCGCAGACCGCATCCGCATTGGCAACCAGAAGCGAGAGCGAGGAAACTTTCATTTCCAGCGGGAGGAATACAGCATGGCTGTCAGAGCCTATTCGATGGCTCTGGATGTGTTAATCACATGCGGAAGAGGTCTTCAAAACTAAATATATTTCTACTCTTTCCCAGAAATGTGTTGCAGTTTGCAGTCTTTGCGGGAAATAGGCGAAAAGGAAATAGAAAACAGATGCAAATGATCTCACGCACAGATCCATTTGAAATTTAAAAACACAGGATTTTTAAGGTTCTACATAAATCACATCAATCTGAGCCCATAATGACATAACTGTTTAGTGCCCTCCTGCAGTCTGCCAACACACTAATCACACTGTCACCATGCGGAGCCACATCTATCGGAGCCCGGCGCCACGATAAATGCTCGCGCTAATTCTTTTGCATAATCAGAGCTAACCAAAATTCATATTATTTCCACCTCCTTAATCGTTGTAATCATTGACGAGGCAGGGAGGGCCCGAGAGGGAAATGTGACTGAACAATGAGGAGAAAAACATGGATCGCATCATAATGCTTCAATGATCGAGGGCCAGAGAGCGAACTCGGTGTGGCCCTGCAGAGAGAGGTTTATCAGGCCATCGAGATCATGTCGTCAGTGGACGAGAAGACCACCCAAGAAATAATAACAGTAAACAAGTAGAAATGTACACATCTCATCTCTTTTTGAGGCCCATCAGACATATTATCATTCATCACATGTGGAAATTAGAGATCACTACAAGCTGAACATGCGCTTGCATTAACATTAGACTTCATCGTTTTGCCGTCTTAAAGGGATTCAATTTAAAAGCATTTGAACAGCATTCCAAAAAAAGATCAAAATTAGGAAAGGCATTTTGATACCTTTTTGAGTGACAGCGAGATCCTCCTTGTGGCAGTGGCAAGTGAGTGGCATCAAACTTGAGAGCCCTGTATATTATTTGAGACACGTGAGCCCTCCTACCCCCCCACACGGAACCCGCCGGTCCAAACCTAAAATTAGCCTCTGCAATAAGAAGACGGGGGCTTACGTGTCTCAAATAAAATAAAATAAACTTATTTACAGCAGCTGACCTGTCGTACAAATAAGTCGTTTCTGGGAAAACTTGGCTCCTCCCACCCAGCGTGCCGTTGTGACGCCGGCCGCGGACTTGCGACTGATTTACTGGCGATGGCCACTCACTTGCCACTGCCACAAGGAGGATCTCGGCCCTACTGACCTTTTTATGATGCCAATGTACAATTAACGAAGTCATAATGTATTAAAAATCTGCTTAGCACCATCTAGCAATGGTTATAAGCAATTATAAATATTCACAATGCTTTATAAAAATAAAATGATTACACAATAAACTTAATCACTATATAATGTCACTGACAAATATTTTGCGAGAATCAGCATTAATTAAAATGATCTGTTTTAACCTTGAATTTTATAACACGTGTGATAAAAAGCTTCTGACATTTACCCCCCATTACCAAGGGTGAAAGTTCCTTTGTATGAATAAGGGCTCATTACTGCGGCCACTACAGTATTCAGCTGGACATGCTTGGGTCTAATGATGAAACCATACAGATGTTACAATATCAATAAAAAATCCATCTCAATATCTAACATTATATTTTCCATATCCTGCAAATCACTCGCAAGATTAGATAACTAATCTCCGCCAAAGTGGTTTTTGTGTCACCAATTAAGAGATTTAGGTTGGACGTCCACAGCAGAGCAGATGTCAGAGGTGACGTGTCTCCGTCTTTGCACAGATGGCGGCGAGAAGGTTGAGGAGGAGGAGGAGGAGGTGCGGGACTACCGGGTGAAGTGTTTGAACAACCTGGCCACCGCTCAGCTCAAGCTGGAGCGCTACGACGAGGCGCTGCACACCAGCCGGGACGTTCTGACCCTCGAGCCAAATAACGTCAAGTCCCTTTTCAGGCTGGGAAAGGTGAGGGGCCCCGCGCGGCTGTCTCATTACCAGGAGACAATGTCCCTCCTTCTAATTTGATCTTTATCAAGCCATATGTGAAAGGGAGAGTCCTTGGAAGAACTAATAATCGGTTTAATGGACATAGATTTTACAGCGGCTGTGTCATTGCCCTGTGTGTTTCTTTATGGGTCCAGCAGCCCTGATCACACCGGACGGCTTTTCTCTTCCAGCTCCAGTCAGATATGGGGGAATACGAAGAGGCAATGGAGGTGCTAAAAAGGGCCTTGAAACTGGAGCCGGCCACAAAGGTGAGATCATGTGGGTCGGCCGGTCAATCCCCCTCCATCCCTCACAGAGGAAGAGGTCACTTAAAAAAACAGGCTGCATTTACTATTACAGCTACTGGATAAACCAATCAATCAACAAAGTAATGGTGACAGAGAAAATATATATAATAAATATTTATTCTAAAATGGTTATATATTTTGTCATACAATATTCTTGATAATCACCTTCCAACACAAATTGTATGGCTTTATATATATTATTTAATTCATACAAAATATATTAATCCGGAACTTTTGGTCCCAGTGCTGCAAATCACAAGAAAAAAGTCTTTGAAAGACTGTTCAGACCTCTGCTCTCCCCTGGTGGATGTTTTCAGAACTGCGGCCTCGCCTTTAGCTCAGTATAAAAATGGTTCATGACTCCATTAAAAGAACTACAGAAAGCAGCTTTTGAAGCACTTGTTAAACGTTTTTGTTTTTTGTTTTCAGGCGATCCACGTTGAGTTATCTAAACTGGTCAAAAGGCAGTCAGGAGGCAGAGATACTCAAGGGTGGAAACCTAAACCAGCGGAGCTGCTTGGAGAGAATATCACACCTTTTCTGATTCCCTCGAAGAAGAAAGAATCTGTAAGAAGATTAATATCGCCGATGCGTTATTGTGATAGGCAGCAGACGGGATTCTGACAAAGCATTTCGTTTTTTCAGGGAATATCCTGGAAGTTTATACTCGGCGCGCTGGTTGTGGCCTTGAGCAGCTTAGTGACGTCGCTGATCCTGACGGCGAGAAACTGACGTCGTCTGCAGGATGAAATGTTGATTCAAGTCCTCATTAATTCATTTGTAAAGAGTTTTTTTTTTTTTACTGTGAAGTTGTATTTCTTGTAGGAAAAAGTTTTCAAAGAAAGGTGTCCAGTATTATTGAAAATTGAGATAGTAAAGCATAAATACCAGCAGAGATTTCATCTTTCCAGAGGTCTGTTTTATTTGGAAAAGTGATAAAAACACAACAAAAGTGATCCAGGAACTTTTGTCAAGAATGTAATCTTAGTAAACAGACATTTTTCAACATCAAAATTCTTAAAATATTTGATCAGTGCTCCAATAATTGAAGGTTTCGAAACTGTGATGTAATCTCGATCACGCGGATGCTTAATAAAATTGTTAAAAATGCAAATTTGGTCGCAAAGGGGAACATTCATTTAAAAATACTATTGTACATGAGTCTCAAATAAAATCTTATTATTTATTTAATTCATGAAATGACTACCAAATAAATAAAAAACCCTAAAGAAAAGTAAACATGATTACAATACGTACATTTGTATTTGTAATTGTGCAATTTTCCAACAATAGAAATCTTACTTTTGATCAGAGAAGTAACATTTATGAAAATATATTATATATCAAGAGTTAAATATGCCAAAGATTAAAAATATTCACAAAATATAAATCACTTTGTGTCCTTCATTGCTCCACCGTATCTACTGCTCTGGACCTTCTACAGGCCACAGCAGGCGTTCAGAGTCTTCTTCGGGTTGGATGGACTCAGTCGGACCTGAGAGAACGACTGCCTCCTCAGTTTGACACTTTTCTTTACTTCTCTGCGGAATGGAAAAGCGGTCAAAGCGTTGCTTTGAGGCTCGTGGGGAACAGCTCGAGCGCTCTGTGTGGCATCCTACCTGGCCAGATGGAGCACAGTCTCCACCACGTTGGTTCCCTCCTTGGCGCTCGTCTCGCAGAACAAGGCGCCGTACGCCTGCAGGCAAAAAGCATCAACATAACCGGACCGCAGTCAGTTTATTTGGAGGCCGGGCGCCTCTACTTTTCGGTCCCGGTGGAATGAAAGGTGACGCACCTTGGCCAACTTCTCTCCGTGCAAACTGCTCACACAGCTGCCTTCTGGGAGCTGCTCCCTCAGGTCCACCTTGTTTCCAATAACACACATGGGGATTTTGTCTTCCGTTGAATCCTGTATGAACACAAAAAAGGACACTGAATTTTACTGCCCACAGGTGCCGTATTTTCCCTCAAGGGCGTTTTGTCAATCAGCTTTTTGCCAGTTACCTGGATCTGATCCACCCACGCTCTGACGTTGAGGAAGCTGCTCTCTGAAGTGACATCGTAGAGGAGCAGGACTCCGTGAGCTTTACGGAAGTAAGACCTCGCAATGCTACGAAACCTGCGGTCCAAAGAAATACAGCGACTTCTGTCACTATCAAAAGAACATCTCAAGTTTTAATTTTCAACAGTGTGTTTTTGTTAGACAACAAACTGTAGGAGTGGGTGCAATACCTCTCCTGCCCGGCTGTGTCCCAGATCTGCAGGCTTGTTTTCTCTCCATCCACCAGCATCCGCTTGATCTGGAAATCCACACCTGAGAAAACAGAGCAGATTCAAAACGCCCGAACTCCAGAATGTGTCAGTGTTTGAGGAAACGCAGCACGTTTGGTGTAGCGTCTTACCCAGCGTTGTCGGAATGTCTCCCCTGAAGTCGTTGAGCGTCAGTCTCAGCAGGAAGCTGGACTTTCCGGCTCCCGCGTCTCCGGCTAGAACCAGACGGAACATTGGGGCAGGCTCCGTGGTTTCCTCTAGGTCGGCTTCTAAAGGCTTCGGAAGAGCAGCAGAAGATAACCAATTTACTCTTTACATTTGTGGCGTGAAAGCAGTGAGTATTCATCTGAACAAACTCAATCTGCTGATAAAGCTGGAGCGGAAACCTCCATAAAAACCTAGTGAGTAGACCTTGAGTTGAGTTTTAAATGAAATTTCAGTAGATAACTAGACTACAAAAAGAATTTGGTTGGATAAAACTCTCTGTACAGCATTCCAATAACCCCATTTCCACACGTGATTCAAATGTTTACTGAAATAAAGGATTTAAATGGAAATCTATGAACTTTAAATAAATACTGAAGGTACATCAATGGTTCCCAACTTGCTGGTTGCAGTCTAATTATTATAAGTTAAAAGATGATTGGACGGAGAGAGAGCCACACACACACACACACTTTTTAAACTCTACCTCCCTCCGGGACCACAAACAGCAACGCATTAAAATAAAGTAGTTAAGTAATCGTACCTTTGTGGAAAAGGCCGACAAACGTCTCCGTAGAGATGACGCAATAGAGCTCGCCTTGCTACGAGCCATCTTCGCCGCAGATTCAGATTTCACTTCTGATACCTGCAACAGAATAAAACTCATTTTAAGCGACAGCTCAGAGCTTACCGGACCGGCCACCTACACCCGGCGTGCGTTCTCACCTCCACATCAGACGGGACGTAGGAGTAACTGTGGTGCACGGTTTCCACCGAGGCCCCCTCGTCGTCGTCGTCATCATCATCATCGTCGGCGCCGCTGTCGTAATCACTGCCTGAGCTCTCGGCCGTGTCCATCGGCAGGGAGACGCCGCTGTCGAGGTACTTATCGGCCCAGGTGGCCACATGAGAGTAGCTGGCTTTGCCGGGATCCTGCTCCGGGCTGCAAGCGCCGACACACTTGCTTTTAGCTGTGACAATTTAATTGACGGGAAGATCAACCGGCAGAGTCACAGAAGTGTGCAAAAGGGACGTTGCATACCTGCCGTGGTTGAGCGTGCTCTGTCGGAGGGGCTTCATCCTGCGGGCTGGGATTTCATCTTGAGGAGACCGCTGCGGAGCAGATAAGGAATGTTGCTAGGGAGGAAACTTTTACAATTTCAGTGCGAGTTTCCGTTTGACTGAGAGCCAGCGGGTGTGAGGACTCACCCTCCGTTTAGCTGCAACCGCTTCGCTGGCCAACGCAGAGCGGAGCCCGTCGTTGCTGTCATACAGCTTTTTGTTTGTTTCCCTAATGAAGTGTTCAAGGAAATAGAAGACTAAGTTACATGTAGTTTATCGTGATGGTATTTAACAGACTGGACAAGTTTGGTTTTATTATCCACTTCCCGGACTCTGCGCTGCCCAGTAAACAGACTAAAACCTGTTCTTCTGGTAATCAAAGAGTTTTAAATCTTCCTTAAAGTATATTTTATTAGAATTTTCAGAGACATCGGATATTATTTAAGTGTGTTAAAAATAATTTATTATGCATTTTGATCCACTATATGTGGGTGGCAAGTCTTTTGAAAGCCTGAGCAATTAAAACCAAGCTATCCATCGTGTCTACATAGACGATGGAAATGAGGATTGTTCAAATTTTGATGAACCAAACCAAAATAAAGGATGTAATCATTTAATGGCAACACAGACCGACTATAAAATGACCAAATACGCTGCCAAAATAAAAAAGGCGTTCACGTCAAACAAGTGACTTACTGGAGAATCTGAATCTGGTTTGAATACGACTGGTATTCCATAACCATCCTCTTCAGTTCATCGCTTTCTCTGTAAAGGAATGAAAGCCACGTGTACCGTTGACGTCGTGCTGGAAGCTGGATCACACTTTTGTGTCAACAGACGTGAGCAGAGCGTAAATACACTGCCTCACCTTTTATGTTGAGCTTTCTGGTCCGCGTACATGTTCTTCAGCTTGTCCAGCTCCGAGTGCAGGACGGCGCTGTCCGTCTGGGCTTGCAGCAGAGAGGTTCGCAGGTCCTCGTTTTGCTGTGAGGAGATTACGTGAATAACTGGAACGACTCTAAACACTATACTTTTCACTCGGTGTGACGACTCTGGCATGAAGTACCTGCGAGAGATCACTGATACGCGTGTTCAGTGTGTCCACTTCCTCCTTTGAATGGTTGAATTCAGAGTCCTCTTGGCTCTTGAGAATAGACATTTACACAAGCATTTTGTTAAAAAATGACCTGCAGTTATGATGTCCTAATTACAAACCAAACAGGTATTCCGTTTGAATTGTTTTATTAAGTCTAAAATGTAGAGACACTGGAAATGTTTGCTTTAGTTTAGTAATGAATAGAATAATACTGCCATGCAATCAATAGCTCAAGTAAATGTGTTTACACGATCTGTGGAAATGGGTGTCAGTGTTTCTACACGAACAACAGATTTCTGAGCCTTTCTTTAAACTGCTTGATATTAGTCTTCAATCTCCAACCATGACAACGCTGTTTTACAAACAGTATCGTTTTACTAGCGCGGTTCACGAGTTGGACCTAAAAACAGTCTTGCCTTTCAGTCACAGAATTCTCGGGAATAAAAACAAAAGCATGCTGCGGGGTAAAAACCTACCTTTAACAGTCTGTCCACAGTTGCATGCAGGTCCGTGACCTCGTTCTTGTGCTTCCTTTGCACGGCCGCCATAAGTCCTTCCATTTTTTTACGTTCCTACAAACATGAAACCGAAGTAGTTAAACGGTGCAGAGCGGCTCAGGGCTTGAAGAGGGGGCTTTCACCTGCCTATTCAAAAGGCTCTTTGTGAGGAGTCTTGTAACCTGCTACCATGCGCTGCACCACAAACATGCAGGCAGCACACAGGAGCCACTGAAGGGACATTTTCACTTTGATGGATTTTTGGCAGTTTCTCAGTGCGCATGTTGAATAGATGCTGCAGTTTCATTTGGTTGGATGTGGTAAGACACATGGTCCTCTAGTACGCAGGGGTCAGACTCACCTCGTCTCTCACCCTCTCCTCGGTTTTGGCCAGCTGCTGCTTTATGTCGTCCTCCAGTTCGGACAGCTGACTGTTGTTCATCTCCTCGGCTCTGTTTTGACGCAGAAAGTTACGCTCGAGTTTGGTCCCACCGAAGCGGAGCCGGCTGTCCAACAGGAGTCCCAGGCACCAACAAAGCCGGAATAATTCACCTTCTATCTATTGTCTCGATTGTACCGGACTTCTAAACGTGCTGCAGTTGCCACCTCGTCGCTTGTTGCAACACGCGAACCAACCGGAGTCGAGGGAGGGAGAGGCGTGTGCTTAATGTCGTCTGTCAGACAAATTACGCAAAAATGCCTGACGTGCGATTTATTTTTCTTTGGTTTAGGCTTTAATGTCAATACCTAAAAGGGTCAGTTAATTTCAATATAGTGGAAACAGTTGCAGAAGCTTGTAATATATTGAGTTTAAAAAAACTAAAGCTAAACTGTAAGACAACAAAGCGGAGCAGCACATTTATGTCGTCCTACTTCCCTGAAAAAGGAATGTTACCTTTTTCATGCCGCGTAGTTACTGAACCACACAAAAGCAGGTCAGACAGATTCACTTAAAAGGGAAACTATTCAAACATTTAACAGACATAACACCTAAAATATAGTGTATAAAATCACTGTCTAGCTTGAACATCAATAACCGCTGAGATTATAGTTATTATAGAGATTTCTTTTTCTAATAAAGTAAATCTAGTACTACCAGAACTAGGTGTGACCACAGAAACATTGTTGATCGACGATCATATATTATGTTCATACATTTTGCCAGCTAGCAGGACGCATACTAAGTTACAGCAACAGGAGGAAGGCTCAATAACTGTTAAGACTTGAACCGATATTTACATCGACTCAAATAACAGATAGGATTGCTCATAGTGAAAATTCACAAAGAAGAAGTAATAAGTGTTTTTATTTTGAGCTAATCTCGATCTCCATAACACAAATGACTTCTTATTCAGCCCTAAAAGGCAGACGGGCCCAGTCAACGTTTGGCTGGAACAAAGGCCGTGGCTCTGTGTGCTTTTATGTTATTCTGCACTCCAGTCCGATGGTCTGAAATCTAATCAGGTGGCTTTCAATCAAGCAGTCAATCAGAGTAGGTGCAGTGGACTCAATTCTGTTTGTCCTCAGTTTCTATAGTTTACAGCCACAAGAGGGCAGCAGTTCACCATTGCTCTGTGAAAGACGGCTACAAAAAGTTAGTTGCAGTAAGGATATTAAGCTGATTTATGATTAATTAAATAAATTCAACAAAACTTTGCAATGATAATACTGGGCGTCACCGCTCTCATTAAAGCCACATAAGCGAAGTGTTTGTGTGATGCGTTTACAATAATGGGCTTTTAATTCATAATCAGTCTGAGTTTCACAGGTCGCGTGCTCTTAACTGACCCTCACCGCTTAATACTGGTCTCCAGCTGCTCACACTCCAGTCGGTTGTCCTGGCTCTGGCTGATCAGCGAGTGGATGATTTCCTCATAGTGCTGCAGCAGATTTGTGTTCGCAGAAGAGTGAATGGCCTGATAAAGATGAGCCAGCTGCTCCCGGAGACTGTCGGAGACAAACGTTCTATACATCAACATTTGGATCACATATAGTGTACTTTTTTTATGAAATATTTCCACATTTTTACAAAAGGTCATACAAAAGCAGTACATTTTTGTGTTACCTTTTTTTTTTTTGCGTACAATAGTACGGTTTTATCATGCAATTTACACTACACCATTTTAAATACACCTCACTTGCCCGACTGAACACATTGTTTTTTCCAGGGCTGATGATGGACGTTTTTAAGGAGGGAGCTTTCTCGCTTCTGTCCCATCAACGTTGGGACTTGCAAATGCAAAAAGTACAGAATGTGACAACCGCTCATGAATAAAACAATGTGTACAGGGACGAGTCAAAATTGTGGGCGCGACATCCACTGAAAGTAAAAGTGAAAAAAAAAAATAAAAGATCAAAACAAACAAAAGCGGTAAAATATAGAATAGCATCATACTATTTGGCTAAAAAGGTGAAGGAGCAATAAAACTCAATCACTTTACAGACGTACCAACGAAAATATACGATATGACCTGAACCAAAAAGAATGAGCACCACCTTCACTTCTCATGTAGTACGGTCCAAAACAACTGGAGAGACATATTTACAATGTGTCCATCCCAAATGTTAAAGCCCTTAAACACATCAAATTTATGTTCAGTTTTCATCAGCCACCTTTGATAATAAGTCGCCATACAACAAAAGCATGTACAACATAAGATCCATCTGATGACAGGATGCTTTCCTCAACAGTTAGTAGTAATAATGGCGTTTTTCAGTAGTGTTCTATGGCTCATAACTGGATCACCTGTTAACTTGTCCTCAGGGGCCCAAGTTAAGCTCTTGAAAAGGTTTCCCGGTACACCTCGAGTTAAGATTTGTCATTCGGCTATTTGAACTTGGGGGGGAAAAGTTACTAACGAAATGTGTCGTTGGTGTTCAAATGGCGTTGCCTACTGTTTGCATTGCAGATAGGTCTTCCTTTATTTAAAGTGACGCAGCTTCGTGTGCTTTATGAGTCACCAACAAGGACAATCCGACACGCTGGAAAAAAACAATGAAACAAATGCGTATTTTCAGCTGGTCTATGAAATAAGGAAATAGCACCAGGAGCAGGTGCCACATCAGCTGTTTTTTTGTTTTGTTTTTACTGACCGCAAACGAATGTTTGCGTGGTGCAGGCGGGGATGTGGGCTCACCTTTCGGGGAGGAAAGCCTCAGCATCTATCCGGCTTTCAAACTCTTCCCACGGGCCGCCGCGCGCGCCGAGGGACGCAAAGTCCAGAGTCTCCGAGACCTCCTGGAACCTGGACGCAAACCTGCCGTAGTCGATGCCTCCGTCCTCGTCCGGGTCGAACTTGTCGAACAGGGTTCTGACCTCGGTTTCGGAGACGTTGAGCTCCCGACAGACCGCAGTGAAGTCATCGTACTCTATCTTACCGGACTTGTTCACGTCGCACGCGGAGAATAATCTCCCGAGGCTGAGGCGCTCCATATGTCTTCTTTTAAAAGGTAAAAAACACACGGAAAAATATAAAAATAAAATTAAAAAAATGTCACGTTAAAATCCAGCACGACTTCTCTCGCGAGGCGACTTCGGCAACGTGCCAGCCGAAATAAAAAAAATAAAAAAAGCGCGTTAAAGTCTCACGGGTGTTGTTTTGCAGCCGCTCATTGGTCCACATCTCATTGTGGGCGGGATCTATCCGCATCAACGCACCCAATTGTGCCACTTCCCTCCGGGGCTCTATCAGGTGATCCCCCCCCCCCCCATCAGCCACCTACCATAGGTATTTGGTTTCATCAAGAGCTGGATGTCATCATTGCGTACAGCTGTCATACAATGTACACACACGCACACACACACACACACACAACAGATACGCAAGCGCTAGCCTCTGTTTACTTTTAAGGTGTGTGGTGCAAGTTTTATCAGACACTCCTCTTTGTTCCCCTTGGTTTGCCCCGCTTCTGACTCCACCCTATTTGATGAGGTCAGCAACACTTTAAAAAATCGTAACATTTATGCAGAGGAAAACAGTAGGGCTTGATATAATAATGGGACGTTGGAATAAAAATAAATGATCCATTTGATCTTTATTTGAAAAATAAAAATAAAGTGCTTTTTATATACAATACAAAAAGGAAAAAAACAAACACTAGTGATGTATGATACAAAAAAATACAATTCACAATATTTTACATTGGCAGCTGAATTTACAAAACAATTTTACATAAAAAAAATATTGTTTCTTACACGTTGACAAGCGTCTGAGCAACTTGTACCGTCACAAATAAAAGGCCAGACTATAGTGGTTTATTAAGAGATAGCGGACAACGATACTTTCACTGTGGCATTAATATGTTAGGCTTCTTGTTAGCATGTTCAGTACCTGCACATGTTTCACTAAGTCACTGCCACGCAGTATTTCTTCTGCGATTGTATATTGTTCTGACAGCCACTTCACTAGAAGCTGCCGTTTGTTTTTTACTAACAGTCTAAGCATGAATCTTAATAGTTGACCAGTCTTTGAGTCATTTTTTCAGTGCCGTTTACAATAAATGTAACATAAAACATATCAATATTTCAGTATTTTAAAATAAGCCAGTGGTGTTTCATGTGCTACAGTTTTAGAATAAAATGTTGTCCCTGACTAAAGTTGAAGCCACTGACAAACATTAAATAAAAGATAAACACCTCGTGAGCATGTACTGTACAAACTTGACAGTATTACATCACACATATTATATTTTTTCACTCTTATGTCTGAGCGTCCTCTCACACTTTCAGTGTAGCGTTTGACTCTACAGCACTACTACCTGCTTAGTTTGTCATCCCAAGAGGCACAACTCTTGATTATTGTTTCAGAAGGCATTATCCGTTTAAGATTTGTTATCAAATCCATAACCTGCATTATACTAAGGCTTTTCAACATCATGTGCAAATCCTCTGCATCCTATGAGTCATGGAAAATGCCTTCCTGCATTTTTGCGAAATATTAATTTTGCTGGCCACATAACAAGACGAGGGCTCAAATCAGGTAAGACTTAAATAATATGCTATAAAATGCTATTAAGTTATTCCAACATATCACAGACAAAACATATGCTTTATAATTCACTATTTGTGAATTGACTAATCAAGATTATTAAAATGCACAATATGTTTATTACTGGATGAGAATGAAAATTATTGCTTTTATGGTTGCCTTTAAAAACCATCTAAGCAAGCGGAGGCCATTTTCTTCCATTTATTAACTCTAAATTCACATAAAAGTTGAGGCTATACAGATGTGTTCTTTAAATCAGATTATGAATAGGTGTATTATTTATATATTTATCATTATTTCTGCCCTAATATACAGCAAAATATCTCACATCTCTTGCATACCTAGCGTTAGTGTGATGACAGCTCGTGTGTGTGTTTGCAGGGCCACTGATCCTAAAATAATTAACAGCGCCAACACCTTTATGCCAAGCGAGTCTCGAGGTGAGGTTGTCTTGGTGTTTACCCTACTTCACATTATTTGCTTTGCATAGACTGCATATCTCATACAGCATGATAATACCTGGAATGACATTCAAAACCTTGTTGAAAGTCAGGCTCTGACGGAGGAATATTTGTATCCACTATAATACCAATACTTAAAAACATAGCATGTCTTGATCTATGACCATATATTGTTTGTTTTTGGTGTGTGTGTGTGTGGGATCGAGGTGGAAAAAATGTCTAAAACAGTTCCACTGTTCTCTTTAAAAGTTTAACAAGAAAAACATTTATTTATAAAGTATTTTCTACTCTCAATTATTTCTCTGTTGCAGTGTTATATTCAAGCCTAAATAATCAGTATATTTCTGTGAATGCAAACTAGCCATAAAAAAGAAATCTATTTCTGTTCCCGCCTGCCACCGGTAGTTGGCATTCTGGTGTGAGTGTTTACCTTTCTACAGTTTAGTACATAGTGCATGGCCTCAGCAAAGGGTCGGCTCTTATCAGATAACAGGATGTAAATAAACACTATAAGTTGTTATAAGTTGTTAGGGGGAACATGTTTGAATATCACTGTGCATTTCATAGCATTACCAGTAGATTATATGGACGAGCTGAGCGGCAATGCTTTGAAATTAAATCACTGAATTACTTATTTGTGGCTCCACCGCCTCACTTGTTACATTTCTTTCAGCCGCAGTGAAAGCGTCAAAAGTCTGAAGGCAATCTGCAACATCTTCAGTGTGCTTCAAATGCACTTGAATAAGAGGCAGTGAGAAGGAAAATAGGGACAGAACAAAAAGTGCAAAATCTGTGACATGAAATGTCCCTCCATGAAAAGTTGAATGATCCTCAGTTTTCCCTCTTGTTGGGGTTTTTGTCTTTCTCTGCAAGTGCACTCTCTCCTCTCAGTTCCACGACGAGTCCCTCGGCACAGCACAGAGCCCTCAAACTATGGAGTCTTTAATCTCGGAGCCCAGTCGGACTCTTGGCCGCGGGCACGTGGGAGAAACCTCTACATGACTCTCTTTCAAGTTCGGAGGCTTGTTCTCCGGTTCTGAGAAGCCCCTGCTGTTGTCGGGCGACGGGCCCTCGTGCGGCGGAGTGCTGCAGATGTAGTTGTCGTTAAGGGTCTGGTAGCCCTTGTGATCCGACGCCGACGCTGGGACGGCGTTGCCGTTCAGCGGCAAGTTCTCAGCCGGTTTCCCCACTGTTCTGGGCTTCTTCTGCTGCATGTTGGCCCGCTCTCCCTCCTTGAGCATTGACTTCACGTCACCGCGGTTCCTGAAGATTGCAAACAGACAGAAGACCAGCAGGGAAAACGCCAGGAGGGAACACACCACAATCAGCTCGTTGAAGTAGGTCTTGGTGTCGATTTGCGGCGACCGGGCCTCTTCCGGCAGGGTGAGGATCTTCCCCTGGGACACCTGCGGGGGACGCGAGCGCCCTCTCAGCGTGGTGCTCTCCTGCTTGGCCTCGCCCCTCACACAGAAGTTGGCCAGCAGCTGTCTGAAGCCTTCCTCCACCGACCAGCACTCGTAGGTTTCCTGCCGGTCGGCTTGGGCCACCACTACCAATCCCCCCTGTTGGCTGGGGTAATGGAAGTGACCCGCGCTCTCGCTGAACTCCCACCGCCTTTCAGCCAAATTAGAGCGCAGCTGGCAAGGGAGAACCTGGAACGTGTTGGCCGGGATAACGATCACCTGGCACGAGGACATTCCTGCGGATGCAGGCGTAGATCGTTTCAGATTCATAATCAAGACTCAAGATTGAACTGTAAAAGTATTTCACTTACGTGCAGGTGGAGGTCTGGCTAACCGTGGGCTCGCCACCGCCTTGTTGCAAACGGCCGATGTGTCAGCTTCGTCTATGTCCTGCTGCAAGGCACTGAAAAACACACGTATTTAATTAGAAACCACTTTTTGTTTACGTGCGATGGACGCGTTTGTCTCAAAAGCTGTAGCTGTACAAATGTAGATCGTTGAGCAGAGGGATGCGTACCTGCTTGCCGCAGCCCGTCTGACATCCACACACAGCCTCCCGTTCCAAGCGCAGTAAGGATCCCTGGAGAGGATACACTCCCCGCAACTCTGATAATTAGTGCAGTTGGCTACTGGGACCGCCGCCAATTCAGAGAACGATGAAACATAAAGCTGACCCTGTGGGGGAGAGACGACAAAGCCGGGGACAGAAAAGACGAAAGGGTTATTTATTTATTTGAGAATGTTTTCTGTCCGTTACTAATCACAGTGCGGGACATTTAGTTCTTCTGAATACCGGCTCTGTGGGAATTTCTTTGAGTATCAAAGACAAGCTAGAATTCAAGAAGTGTCACTATTCCAGCTGTTAAAACACAAGCTCTTTTCAGATCCTCTGGGCAAAGTTGCATTTAATGAGCTAATTGAACATGAAGTCTGCTTCAGGCTGCTAATCTTATTGGTTCATGGTATTTGCAAACTGCCACAGATGCCTTTACTGCGCCTGCTGTTAGTACACACCATGCCAAAGCTCTATAAAACAAGCTGGGGCGGTTTTCCTCTCAGCACTCCACTATACCTTTTCAGTGTCCAGCTCAATGCGTTGCACCGGCTGACTGTCACGGAAGATCACCATCTCCTCAATGATGTGCATCTTGTTGTTGACATTAATGGCTTTATGAAGTCTCCCATCATCTAGAAGGCAGCATAGCTTGAGATTAGATTGAACTCTTTGCAAATATTGAGAAATGATATTCTTCAATAAAGATACTTAATGTGTCATTAAGGGTCAGGGGTGTCCTACCTGTGCCAATGAAGATCACATTATATGCCTTTTTCGCTGCCTGCACCAGATGGACGGCGATCTGCGTGTAGCGAACATTGCGCTTCAGCAGGAGAGGCTGGCTGCGGATCACGCTGTCCATCAGGAAGTGGTCTTTGACGAAATTCAGCACCTTGTCCGGCATGTGCAGCGAGGAGGAGATGCCGTCTTCCCTGGCAGCATTCGTGATGCACTGTGAAGGCAAAATAGAGTCCTTTAAAACATACTGCAGCTGTGCAGCACCTCAATGTTTCTACCTCGCCTGGCCTAGAAATTAAAACAGTAATTGTATTTTTTTTTAGGACTGACTGGTGAGCCGAAGGGGAATGGGTGAAGCTTTAAAAGCTGACATGAAATCCTGCTGAGTACTGGCAGCCATTTGTCCAATAGAGGGCAGCAGGTATTCACTCACCACACCAGGCCGAGGCTCAGGGACCGGGTGATTGTACGTGTACCACTGCTGAGTCTCCCTGTTGACCTCACGGTAGCGCCCATTGAACGCCTTTTCCACCTGGTCCATGGTGAAGGAGCACACTGCAGAGCTTCCCGAAGCACCATTATACCTTAAAAGACACAAACAAGCATCTCAACAATACTCACCGATCATTCATCACGGTCTGATCTTGAGATTTTAGAGGGAATGTTTTACAAAGAAAACCTAAACTCTACATAAAGACTACCGGAAACACTGTGGCCTTATTTAACTGCCCATTGGAGGAAAGATGGTAACTGGCAGCTGAATCTGATACAAAGCATCTCCTCTCTGCACTTCCATAGAACTCATCAGACAAAGATGTATTAAAATCCCTCGCCCGTGCCATATTTGCATTACATATCCGAAGGCATCACCACATTAGTTTGGTGAATTATTAATCAAAGCAGTGGAGGTCGGTCCTCACCACTGAGACGTGAAGACTCCATAAAACACGGTGTTCTTCCAGTCCTCGGGGCTGGGTGTCAGCACAAACATGTCTTGGATAATGTTGAAGGGGAAGCCATCGTCCGGCAGAGTGCACAAGAGTTGCGCCTTCAGGAAGGTCGTCCATTTCTTCTGCAGGACCCTCTCACCTCCCATGTCACCCTGCAACACACGTGTTGAAGGCGTGGAGCTGTTTAACATGTGGACAGTAGAGGGTGCACAAATATAAGATTGACACCTGTCTGAGGAGATAGAAAATACCTCGGAAACAAAAACGTGATTTGATACTGAAGCGTGACGCGATTGGATGTGACAGGCATGTAAAGGGCATGAAATAATAATGCGCACCATATGGTATGTGGCATACCTCACATACCACGATATACAAACACAATATGTCCAGAGGTGAAGCTTTTTGAATTGAAATAACTGAAAAACCTCATGTTGTAAAATCATAATGAGCTAAAGACATTGTGCCCGTAACACAGCGATACCCAGAGGCAGCAGACTTGTAGGTCATGAAAACAATGCACATCATCACTCAGGGCTTTGAGGGAGGGCAAATGCTTTTAAATGAAAAAGAAAACAACGCTTTGGTCCCCGGCAATCCTTCTTTACTGACACTACCGCTGCGATTCAGCGCCTTCGGCACGAGCCTTCAAAGCGGTGTGGCACACGGGACCTCCTGACATGCTGACTAATTTGACTACGCAGGGGTACGACAGGGTATCTGTGCAGATCGGAGTGCAGCTACTTCTTGGAAAGATGGCTACCGATGCTTTACAGATAGAAACGACAAAAGTCTACTTCTGCAAAAAAAAGACTATGCATTTAAGGGGGAGGGCGATGTCCTGCAGCAACCGGACTGTCTGTTCACATTCAGTCCATGGCAACAATTATTCGGGGTTGCTCACAGTCTTAGATCAACAAGATGAAAGTTGGCTGCTGGAAGAAATAAGTAGAATTAAAAATGTGCAGGGGACCAAAGAGAACTACTAAATGATCTAAGCCACGTAAAAGCCTTTTAACGTGAAACTTCAATCGGGTCCACTTTAGAATGACATTAATCAGACTAAATGGCAGCCTCAGACCAGAGGAGGAATGGCACATGACAAGCAGCTACTTATTGCAGTAACCCAGGCAGATAATGAGCAGCATACAGGATACTCTCCAGTCCTCCTGGCTGGACCTGGTTGTATACTTTAATGCCACTGTGCTTAAACCAACTTCTGAATAATTGAAGCAAATGCATCCCGTACATTAATCCCTTGTTAAAGCATCCCTTGTATGTTCAGGAGTATATCATCGTGTCAAAAGTGTTTTATTTTGGATGGAAAGACTGAGTGGATAATTGCTTTAAGATGCAGAGGATGTAAAGCTGGGGGTAGAGTCTGACTGAAACTCAATCGGCCATAAAAAAACAGACCGGCTCTTTGGAAGGTTGTGGTCAAAAATAATGAAAAAATGTAAAGAAAGAAACTGTACAAAAAAGACGTCACAGTGTCACAGGACAAGTTTGAAATACAAACAAAAGGTCCAAGTACCCCACACACTGGTATTACTGTCAAACAGTTTGTCAGTATCCTTAGACTGTGGTAAACCTGATTATTTCCACAGACAAGCAACAGTCTGATCTTTAAAACTGGTTTGGGGAATTAATGAGGTTTACAGAACAGAACACATTAAAGACTGTGTGTGGTCTGCATTTTAGTTCAAAAGCGCCAGGTTTAATATTTCAACTTGTGATAATCCAATTCTGCCCACGGATCTGGTGCTACACTATATGTTACGTTTTGACTGGGCCAAATATTTGGTGAAACACGATAAGAATAGAGGGAAGAAAGCATTTGGGGAAAAATAATCAAATAGAGGCAAACGTGCGGGAGGAATGTTTTTCTGTAACAAGAGATCCTGCCCAGAAAGACCATGTATAGGAACACAAAAACATGAAATGCACAAATACGCCGGTCTGATAGATCCCTGTAGTGATGTGAAGGGATGTCAGGATATGTTGCTTAAGGGGGAAAAAGTTCCCTTTACAGAGATCATCTGCCTCCAGCCGTCCCTCACCTTGCACACACGAGCAATGCGGGACACAATGGTCTTGTCAAAGAAATCAAACTCCTTTCCTGCTTCGCTGAAGAAGAAGTAAATCTTATCGTCATCGCCCACTAGATTGCCTTTGGGCAGGCTCTCCTGAATGTAGGCAGAGCCAACAAAGGCTGGGTCTGAAAGAAAGGCGACATGAACAATATCTTCAGCCTTCAGTGTGTCAAATGCAGGTATCCAGGGACAGAGGTCATGCAATCAAATAAAAAAGCGAATCTTGACAGATTGTTGTTAAACCATTTTGATCTATGTCATTTCTGATGATGTGAAACTCTATTCTTATACAGCATATCTGGCAACATTATTAAACGGGCATACATCTTGAATAATATGAGATAACAAATAATATATGTTCTTTTTTTTTATTCATGAAGATTTAAACCAAAAAGCATTGCATTCCAGCCAACACAATTTACCTTGAAGCCAGTTCAGTGAGTTTTCTGTTTTTAGAGAGGTTCCTTGTCTTAGACCCTTGTAAATGATGGGTTCATTTCCTTGAAAATTACTAACTGTACCGGCGTACAGCTCTCCATCTGCAACACAACCAAGAAGTGCACCATAAAAACAGCGTTCACTACGACACACCTTGTTGCAGACTTAGTTTATATATGCAAAAGAATTTCTTTGTATTTTACGCAAACAAAATATGAAATGTGTTTAGATAAGCTGGTACCGACCAATTTCAACCACAAACAGTCGCAACTTTTAGCAAAAGCAAAAGCGACTTGTGTGTGTGTGTGTGTGTGTGTGTGAGTGTGTGTGGAGCCAACAGTCCATATCACGCCACATTATAGGCCCGCCCACTTCTAAGCGGCCCAATCCGATACAACGGATTTGATTTGTGTCCGTCTCTTAACCGCACACCACTCAAATATTCACTGAGGAATACATTACGGTACGAATATTAAAGATGCTCCAACTTCCGCTTCAGAAGGACTTCAAACGAAGCCTCGGGTACCTACCAGCCATGATAGCAGTGGACTTGTATTCAGGGTTAAAGGGGCAGCGGCCTCGTCCGTCCTCTGTAACAATCTCACCAGTATCGCTCTTGACGAGGGAGAAGTCTGCCGTGTTCTGGTGAGCACAAACACACACATCGAATGTCACACTGTAACCTTCTCTGACAGTGATTGGCGTCCTTCCGTCCCGCAGTGAGGCGTCAGTCTTTGTTTAAAGTTGACACACAGGTCATCCCTGTGTGCTTGCAGGTAGTTTTAAAAGGCTTTTAAAGGGCACAAACTGGGTCGATCCTCATACAACCTGTTTACATGCATTGAATATTTGGATCTGTTGATACAGGAGATAATGACATAATGTGCATGTGAGTACATTGTGTCTAGCTGGGCCTCTGCCAGACTGCTAAGTGAGCCGAGAGGCAGGAAGCCGCATGCACCACATATCAGATGCTCTTCCTCTCAAATTTAATGAACTAACAGCAGATATAAAGTCATGCACCGGGGAAAGTTCTTTTAAAAACACATTCACAGGTTGCACGCAATGGATCAGCGCAACGGATGTGAGTGGTTCATATAAACACTTACTATGTAAGCACAGGTGGGGCTGAAGGCGTACGTCCCACACACATACAGATGAGTGCTGTTCATACGTAGTAAAATCTTGATGTAGTTGAAGCAATCCGTCTGCATTCGAAACACAGAAAATACATTTCATGAAATAGCTCAAATGTTCAATGTATTATCATACTTAAAAGTAGAAAAGACAAATGATCTGCAGACTTCACCACATCCAGCAGAGCAGTCAATTAAAACAACAAAGGATCAAACTGGAGTGTTTGTACAATATGTGGTATTCCTGAAAATCCACTTTGCACTCAGACCTTTGAGCCATTTTCTTCATCTGGCAATTCTTTGATTGCTTTGAATAATAAAAAAAAACATTCCTCCTACCAATGTGCTCCACCCTCACAAATATGTGATCAGAATTCTGGGTCTGAATGTTTGCATATGAAAGTGGCGGTGGAGTACGGTTAAGTTTGTTTGAAAGGAAAGGAAAAATCCTTCGTTGTGTAATGGAATGTTACAACATGACAGAAACTTCCAGGGTTTTTCCCTTAGTCTGTCTCAAAAGTGCTTTGCAGCAATGGTCAAGTTGGCCAGCGAGGTGAACCTCTACTTATGTTAATGCAATTTGGGCCATTTGAGTTAAGCTAATTGAGCTTTTATATAAACAGTTTACTTGCCTGCAGGTTTTTGCCTTTGAAACCGCACTCGTCTCTTTTCCTCTCTGGAGTTTTCCACGTGAGCTGCAGAAAAGAGAGTCTGTCACACTAATACTGGAGGTATAATACGAGTATAATAAGGTGGGTTGAATTCACATTGGACTTCTGGGACATAATCATATCCACATTGTACCTCTGGGAAGCTATAACTGCATTCATATTGATACAATATACTGTATATTATACAGTATAATAGGGACGCTGGGCTCCTACATTTCTTTGTAGCTTGATGGCGCTGAGGTCAGTGAGGTTGAGAGCGAAGAGGATCTCCCGAGCGCCAACATACAGTGTGTTGTCCTCTTTGCTGAGTAGCAGGGAGGTGAAGTTGAAGACTCCACTGAGTGAAAAACTTCTGGTTGTCCTCTCCTTCGCATCTGGACAGAAACAAACAGAGAATAAAAATATTGTGTAAGTCGTGGATGAGTCATCTGGAAAGCCTCACTGAGTTGCCTCCTATCCCACAACAACTACAGAGCCGAGAACGTTCAGTGTTTCAGTGTTGATGAAACAGCTTTACGAGAACTTGGATTTCATGAAACACACCCATAAATCGTTTGCATGTCATGTACTCTTTAGAAAACCTTTTAAGCATGTCTTCCTTCATCAGACAGCACCAGGCGGATGCTTTGCGACGGAGGTCCCACACAGACTCAAATTGGGGATTTGTATGTCAGATCTGCAGGACGCTCCAGAAAAACAGTTCTTGTCGGCAATCAAGGTGATTTCACTCAGCTTTCGCTACTCACATGGTTCTTCGACTTTGACATGGTGGGGCTACATACCTAATACATACGGCTAAGTCCTGCTATATGATGTATATGATGAGCCCTGATGTGGGATGAATGAATGCTGATTGGTACAAATCAACGCGTCTGTGTTTCTCAGGGAAGATTTCTCATATTTCACCTGCAGTAAGTAAACTATTTTCTCCAACCACGTTTAAACCCACCAAATAAAGCCCCGGGTTAAATCATCAAGCCTCCTAATCACGGCTTTAAAAGCCCATGTGTATCTCAGATTTGCAGCAGCCTGGTGGCTTTCACCGCTGGCCCAGCTCGCACAACTTGCCTTAATTTGCACGCCAGCGTAAACAGAAGCAGAGAGCTGTTGGGAACATGATGTGTACTATGCTGATACGGGACTTTTAGAAATAACAGTATATGTATATATATATATATATATATATATATAGAGAGAGAGAGAGAGAGAGAGAGCAGGTGGGTGCTAAATATGTACATGTAATTGTTTATTCAAATAATAAAAAAGGACCTGCCTAGAGTTCATATTCATAAAATCTGACGGAATAATTCTCCTCCCAAAAAACCCAAACTAATGTGAGTGACCTTTTTCATGATAAAAAGATGCAAATCTTCAACATGTTGTACCCCAACTTAACCCTAATGTATTAATGGAGATGGAGACAAAATGCCCAAATTTAAAGTAATACTGAAACTTCCAGATGACTCCTCCTTATTATAAGAAACGAAAGCAGGTGAAATATTGTCAACAGTATCAGAATCACATGATTTTCTTTCTTACTGGATTACAACCAAAGACGCTTGTGGTGGTAATTACAACTATAGTGCTTCCTGGCATAAAACTAATCCAGTCCAGAGAGGGTAAGGTGTCATTACGTTGTATAATAAGCACGCTATGCAGCCTCTACCCGGCAGTACATGTGACCTGATATAACCTCGCCTCGGTGGGTAAGTACAGGAGGTTGAGACTTCCTCCCCCTCAGGAAAACTATGTGTTAATAGACGTCCATCGTCATGGCAACAGACCGTGGTTAAATCTGTCGGTAAAACCTCAAGAGTCTCTGTTACTGCGCCTGTACAGTACATGGACCCACTGGGACAATTTTCACCATTATCACTGGATAAATTGGAGTGCGGTTTCGTCCCCCGACTCCCGACGGAGTCTTGAGAAGTTTAACAGTGATATACGACGACGAGAGACATTGGCCAACGCCTCAACCAAAACAAAAGCTTTGAGGGATTTCAACAAATGTGGATATCTACACAATTATTCCCCGGAGTCAGATCACCACTGTCATACTTAACGACCACAGCCAACTCAGAAAAACAGTGGAGCCCCTAAATGATTATCATCAAAGAGATCCAGGAGGGTTTGCAACCACACAAAGCTTCCATTCACAGCTTCAGGAAAACATTAATCATCTTCAGTGTAGACCCATCGGTTTACAATGCTTTATTCTAGATGGTGTATTTTAACATAATCTTTGCCTGTGTTGTCCATAAACAGGTACGCTTAAAGAATCGACATGATGGTCTTCAGGTGACCGGATCAAATCGTAGGGTTAGGGGTCAGGGGTTAGGGTTAACTTAGGACGCCAAGTAAACACAGTTTCAAACATGGTACTTGGCTTCTTCTTCAACTATACAACACTATTTTTAACATAAACGTAAATGTTATTTGATAACTTGACAACATTAATACACGTTGACTTGGAGCATAAGAATAAGAGCGATCAGTCAATCATTCAGCAGCAAATATGTTAAAGGTTCCAGCTTCTGAAATGTGTGGATTTATGTTATTGTTATTTAAACAGTCTGGGATTTAGACCCTCCACAACTATTAAATCAGGAGCACAAACTATGTTCACTATTTTATGAGATAATAAACATAAACAGGGAGTCACAAACTTCCTGTGCAAGAAAGAGGATTCCTGTTGCAGCGCTGGATGACTTTGATATTTTCTCAACATGAGCAGCAACACAATCCTGAGACCACAAACCAGCTCGGACTGTTAAACACCAAAACGACACCCCCATCACAAGCTTGATGATGCTCCATCCTTGAACTCGCCCTCCTCACACGCCACCGTCTCTTAAAAGCAGCCCCTGTGTTGTTGTTTGATGGAGGTTTATTCCCCAGGGACCATTTCATGACAATGCAGCCCCAGAAATGCTGTGGTGCATCAGAAAGAGGGAAAACAGGCGTGAGGGTTCAGAGGAAGCACTTGAGAGCGGAGGAGCAGCTTCTCAGAGACACAGCGTCAGAAAGGGAAGACGAGTCACCTGCCGGAGAAGCACAACGCACATCAACGCTTCACCGTAGTTCATCTTCACTCGGTCGGACCTCCGAGCCCTCGTGCTTTTTGCCTTGTTAGTGTTTGTCTATTGATAAAGATCGAATGAATGAATGAAACATGAGCCTTTTCACAGTGACCGCACAGGATTTAGGTTCTGTGAATGTCAAAACAACTAGCATGTTTCCTTGTAGAAGGATCAAGAGAAGGAGAAAGAGCATCAGGAGGAGCAGTGGATGTGTAACGTCTTCAGAAGCGATTCTATCCTGCTGATTGAATCAAGTTCAGTAAGACGGTTCTATACGGGACGGCTCGCTGAATGCTTTGATCTCCACGGTCACCTGATCTCAATCCAACCGAACGCATACAGTGTGGGAGATTTGGGAATGAGATTTGACGACGGAATCACTATCATTAAATCACAAAGTTATGTCTTTTGGAGAAAGTTATTCATATTTCTAGTCATTCTGCAGAGACGTGGGAATGGCACAACGTCTTACTGAGACACTTTGTAATGGATTGCTTTCTTAAGTGCATTCAAAAATGATACCAGTAATTGAGAAACTCCGGAACGATGGAGCTATTTTAGACAATCGGACTTTTGGATTAACGACATTGCTGTTTGGTTTTATTATCTATTACCTATTGCCTAGCATATATGTCTTCAAAGTAACCGTTGCTCTATTTTATAATGTATCACACAACATGTAACTTACAGTAAGTGCCGACAAGAAACAACTGAAGTCTGCGCTTGGCTGCCTCTGCTTGACTGGTGCTGGAAACACAGGTCACAGGTTAAGCAGGTATATGACCCTCTGTTCACACATCCCAAAGAGGGAACCAGCAGGCGCGGCTGCAGGACTTTACACCTCACCGCGTGGCCGTTACTTGACCTCTGACCCGGAGAGGGCAGCTTTGTTGGGAGCGGCCCTCTGACCCCTTGTTGGGGTGCATGAACAGCACACTGGCAGCTGGAAGCAATGTGAGATCATTGCCATTATTACGTAATTAAAAGTAATTTCTGCAAATTACACAGCTAAATGGATTTAAATACTCGCCTAGACTGGCTTGCTAATCTATTTCTTTCTTCGGAGTGGGCGGGTAATTATTTTGGGCTTAAAGGAATCCTTTTACATTTTTACATCTGATTTCCTGATGAGTCTGTGTGCAAAAAAAAGGATTATTAAGCTTGTAAGATCCCCTCTAGAGGGGAACTGCGCAGTAATTTGTCCTTTGGTGACAGAGATCAAAGTATCTTTCATTGTAGGGCAACTATAACAGGCCCATTCAATCAGTGCCCCCCCCTGATGAGGGAGCTGCTTCATCGACTCCTCACCCCGTGCCTCAAAGCTTCTCACAGCATCCCTTGTTTACTTTCTGCAGGACCACAATAAAATACAGCGACAACATACTGTGTTTGAGTGTCAAATGACTGCAACCCTGGAACTGGAATAAAGGCTGCATACTAGCACACTTCTTCTCGCACAGGATGTGGATACATTAAAAATTGGTATCAGCTCCTCAACCTCCAGGAGTTTGGTAACAGTCTTCTTATTTCACGTAGGTCTGTGTTGGCTGTAGTTGTAGATAACCCGTACAAAAGGGCCACCTCTGCATTGTGATCGAGCGTGAGCAATGGACTCATGATGGATAATCTTTGAGGAACGTCAGATGCCCACTTACAGTCCTCTGACCAAAAACATGACCTACATTCTCAATATTATTAATATAATAATATAACTAATCATTAATGTTATTTAATCTTCAAAACAACCACAGAAAGGTACCGCATCGACTGGAACACACTGGATGGATACAAACCTAAAATCATAATGCCTCTGGCCACAGCTTAAAGGTAGAACGTTATTTGAAAGTATCCACAGATCATTGGGGAATAATCTAACAGTCATTAACAAGCCTTTGACAAGAAGAGAGTCGGATTTGATAATTCCTTAATTAAAAGAATATTGCTTATTTAATTCAATTGCACCAACATTCAGGACAGGTTTCCTTTTCCGTCTCACAAATACAAAGGTCAGGCAAAAATATACTCTGTATGTCAATTTATTTGGATTGTCTAAGGGAGAGAGGATTAACATTTGAGCTCGGACATCTCAACATTATAAAAAGCTTGCAAAAAAAAAGTATAGAGCAGAGAGACACCGGAACCAAATTTTTTTTTCTTTATCTTCATCCCGCCAATGTACTTGTGTCTTTTACTAAGTTTACTTTGAGACATAACAGGTGAACCTTCATCTTAAGTCCACTTGCTTTGAGGATAAGTGACCACGACGTCGGGGAGGAGGCACTGACCCCCGCGACAGAAAGCCACACTGCCAACAGAGTCCCACCACCACCACTGCTGCATTGTCTGGTGACATCAAGACAGAAAACAGGCCCCACTGGAGTGCTAACTGAATTATCCCCAAGTAATTCCAAACTGGCTATTAAGAGCTGCTGTTGCTGCTGAATGGGTAATTGTGTGGGAGAATAGCCCTGGGAAGCTGAAGGACAGAGACTGAAGCATCTGCAAGGCATTAAGACAACAGGCCAAGAGGGTCAATTCACCAGGAGATGCATTAGGCAAGCTGTGAGCCTGCTGTTTATAATGGTAACGCTTAGTACTGCATCTTGTTAGCAGGATTTAGTCCCGGCTGCACCATGCCGATGCTGAGATTAGTAGCAATTTTGAACACAGCTTCAGGAAAACAGAAGCTGGAAAGTCAAATTGTAAATGCTGCACATACTGTAAATGCCTGTAAATGCTAAAGTGTAGAGATAGAGCCTGTGCATTACATATCAACGCAGTAATGGGCTCTAGGCTTTGGTGGTGCAATTTATTAAGGATATTAAAACTTAACATTCAAAGAAAAACACCTTCCTCCAAATCTATTAAACCTGCACCTCAGCTATGAAGAACTATTTTCCCATGGAAATCTATTGGTCACAAACTGACCCTGGACTAACCACAATAGTGTGAACCAGCTGCGGGTTTATCAGGAACTCACCATGGCCTCATGTGAAGAGTGAACATGAGGTCATGACATGTTTTTTAACTGTACAGCAGGACTCTGACCTGCCTCCATGATGTGTATTTACAGTAGGAGAACACCATGAAAATGAACATGCAAGGAAAGTGCTTTCACGGGGTCTGCTGACTTTCATCTGTGTCCGGGTTGTAGACAAAACAGGTGTCATAGACATCTGCAATATAAGGATCAATGATCTGTCATTTTATGATGGATTGAAAACAATTGCTGAGGGGAGACAGCTCAACCTCTCAAGCAGTGCGTTACTGAGTGTTACATTTTACAGCATCGTGTCATCCTGCTGCATGTTTAAATACAAATAAATCACTTAACATTCCTCTAAGCCGGGTGAAGTAAATGATCAATGATCTAAAACCCAAAGATATGGCATTCTTTATAATATATAACATATAAAAGAAGGTAATGTTAAAGCTGGAGCCAGAGTCCTTTCCTCTCTAGTGCTTTGCCACTTTAGAAGCCATATGCGTAGTATCACGACACACAGTTTGCACACAGTTTGCCGTGTGCCGGTATTAAGACGCTCACCTATTAAGGCTCACCTGACCATTGTGAGTCTTTGACACCATGGGAGTTAGACCAGCCTGCCTAGTAACTATTTTTTCCACTTTCTGTTAAACTACATTATTATTCAGTTTTTAAAAACAAAGATAATATAATATACAGTAAAAATCCTTGTTAAAGTTACTGTGACTTTCTAGTAGAGTGTTTAACACCATTAACAACGGCTGGTCAGCTCTGTGGCAGCAACCCAGTGCTGAAGTGCTGTTATCTCACTTAACACTGCTGTCATTTTGAATAGCTTCAAAGTGGTTGATTGGACTGGTCAGCTTTTGAATAATTAAAATGATTTACTCCCAGCGTGGCTGTGGGCATGGCCACGCCTAACGATGTCTAACAGAAGGTTGAACAGATCAACAGGCAAAGACAGGCAACGTAAACAGCTTAAAGGTGTGCCTTTAAGTAGTGTCCCAACCCACTAAGCCTCCCATCAAAGCCTGGAACAAAAGCAGGGGGGAAAGCAGATGCAGGCTCTACTTGAACCCATGATCCGTCCTGATAGGTGCGTAGCGACAGAAGCGTTCACACCATAACACGAACAAATCCCCATTCTTTACTCACGGGGGGATTACCCTCTTCATTATGGAAGGGACCAGGGGACAGCGGGAGCATGAAAGAAGAGATGGGGAAGTCTAGATATACAGAAGTGTTACAGGATGAGAAGCAGCCAAGCAGCTGCGGCCCGCTTACACTAGCTGAGCAAGCTTACTGACATCCAGAGAGGACCAGAAAGCATGACCAGAGGAGACGCTTTCTGCTGCATAATGTTCCCCGAGGGCCACAGCTCGGCGCTCTGCTTCGATACTGAAAACACAATGTGACAAAGCGAGGCTGGAAGTTGTCAGACTAGCAGAACCGACATTAAAACAGCAAGACAACTTCTACCACCGGGCCAAGCTAATCTCTATCAGCCGGATGAAGCGTGTTCTTTGTTTTACGTCACAAATGAAAACCGTAAAAACTGGTATTTTAATAAACGACGTCTATAATTGAATCGGAGATCAGACTTTTTCCGTTGTATCCTTTGTAGGACTCGCTGTATAAGTCAGCAGATGTAAAGGCACCTGATACAATCACTCCCTGGAAACACGTATGATTGTTCATCAAAGTTACGGCAACATAAATCACATTAAAAAAACAAGGCGGTGACTGAGCTTAGGGGTTAGTCTGGTTAGCTGCTGTGCTCAGTACTCAGTGAGTGAGTGATGGTGCGTTGTTGTGAAACGCTCCGCCGGGGACAGAGCTGTGGGCTTTGTTGAGGGTGGCAGGTGAGAGGGATTACCTGTTGGTATAGAGGCCCTCCGTGAGGGAAGGCACAGGCTCAGGCAGGCACCTATTTGAAAGCTTACCCGGATCAAAAAACGCTAACCGTGTTTATAATAGATTAGTAAGAGATATCTATCAACACAACCCTGACGATAAGACTCTTGTGATGCATAGATGTGACTCACTAACCGCAGTTCAATCATTGAAAGCCCTTATTGATCTCATAATCCAACATTTTGTTTAATGTTCCATAGAGATGCCAAAGCACAATACTCGTACAAAGTCCAACTTGTCATCTCAAGTGCAATGTTACATCAAGTGAATAATGGCATCAGTGATGATGAAATCACTACTTGGCACTGGTGGCTATGGCAACCGTTTACCAAGAAAACTCATCCAACCATACTGTGCAGAAATCCAGCACACAAGACTTATTCAACAATATCTTCATATTAAAAGGTGAAATATGACACGCATATGTGTTAGCAAGATTGGAGTGACGTCCTGCAAGCCAGCCGCAGCGATGCACATTATAAAAGATAAATAATTCTCAGTGCTCGTGAGACTATGTCAGTCTGCCCTCAGTAAATCGCAGCACAATAGGCCTGTTCATTTGGTAATTATGTCTGACCTGTAGGTACTCACAGTACGGATTTACATGGATTTTAGAGCATTATGGTGTAGACAAACACGATTTCACCCGTATAAATCCTTTTAGCGCTTACTAGTGACGCATATAAAGTGTTTTGCTTCATTTTACTGAACAGAGTTAATGAACAGGGACACCGCTGGGGATTGCATAATCCGTGCGGTAGCCAGGATGTGACGGTGAAATAGTTTTACTTTTACGGTTGTAACTGTGAGATACAATTTGTCAGATTCCAGGATTTGATTGGTAGAATATCACTTCACAGACCCAGAGAAAGCGAATTTACAAAGTGCTGCTGTTCATTCAAAATGCTTTCACAAAGCACTGAAGCCCGAAGCTTCATGCTGCCAGAAAATCTTGGGACTAAATAGAAAAAAAAAAAAAAGAAAAGAAAAAAAAGACCCCCATAGAAGTACAAAAAGGAAATATTTAGTTATTCAACTGTCAAGAAGTTAAATAAAAACTTACTGTAGGAGAAGGTGAGGCGTGGAGTGACATCGCTTTCCGTGGCAGCCGCGTGAAAGCAGCCAACGAGGAAGACAGTGTAGGCTGGGAGGTAGAGCCAAGCCATACCCATTGTCCTCAAACCTCCTTCGGACCTCCTGCCAACTTGTGTTTGCCTTTCAGGTTTTTGGGGAATTCATAGGGAGCGTCTTTTTAAAGCTGTGTTTATTTTCTATGCCTCTCTCTTCCTTTGCGCCGCTCGAGGCTCCTTGTGCACTGTGGTGAAGGGGGGGGGGGGGGACTCCTTGAGGCCTGCAGAGGAGGATGCTGGTCTGGAATGAAGATCTGAGAGCTCAGTACAAGACACCACGTCTCCACCGGTCAGCCTCCATGCAAACGCGGCACTGCCGGGTCTCTGATGAGATCTGTGAAGAATTGAGTGAAAACATAGAAATTAGCATTTTAGGGTTCATAGGGGTCAATTGTAAATTATCTTTAAAATTTGCAATTTGTGCAATAAACAAATTGTACGTATGATTAATAAAGAGAAATATCATTGGTTGCAGCTCCAGTTCCTCATAAAGGTACAATTTGAGCACCTTTCTGTACAGCAATATGTCTTTCTCTTTTCTCAATCCAAAATGCCATATTGAATTCAACAGTTTAATTGTAAAAGGGCAGAATAGGATACATCACACGAATGAGCTTTCACCAGGCTCAGGTCAGCTGGTCTGATATTGTAGTGTCGGTTTCTGTCAAAGCAACCGTATCCAAATCTCCTTCTAAGAACTGCACGTACCCGCGACACCCAATACAGCGCAGGTAATAGAGGAGTTTCTGTCTCACACTTTTCCTCGGTTGAACCGCGTTTTAATTAGTGAGTGGTGATACAGTGTTTGTGCAAAATAACCCTTGATGCTGCAAAATGTTTGACACCCACAGGTCCTACAGGGCTTTAGGAAATCGGAATTCCTGAATATAAAGGCGTCCAAAGAAAAAATAAATAGGTTAAATATTTCCATAGGCCAGCAATTCAGTTTTTTTTCCTCAAATAAATCCCCGCCGACTTACTTTTTTCGCCCACCCTGAATAGGTTGTCACTGGCGAACCCCTTTATCCACAGCTTCAAAAGAAATTCTTAAGAAAAGATCAGAACAAAGCCGCGAGACAACTACCGTACCTATAATGCTGATTAAATGAGCCTAGGTAGACGTGGAGGAGAATTCAATACCGACATCTCTGTTACAGCTGCAATCACTCCATTACAACTGCCAGAGGGAGCTCCTCATTAAATGCAGCCAACAGGAGATTCAGTTTCACGCGGCTTATGGCAATCAATATAGCGAAAGGTAGTGAGTGAAGCTTTTCCCGGTTTCTATCACAGGGGCTCCCGACTCCCGTCAATAAGCAGTCCGACTCTTGTTACAAACGTAGACATCTCCCACTCTTAGCAGGAAAGATGGCATTTGCAGGAGCAGGACGTATAAAGGCCAGAGAACAAGACAGAAAGAGGGTTATTTCTACAGCAGAGACGGGGCTCCATCATTGTAGTCTGCAAAAGGTTGAATAACACTTAGTGGAGCTAAAGACAAAGTGCGTCTTGTTCTTTTGGGTTAAGTCGTTTGTACACGTCAATCAGAGTTCAAATAGATTCAAATTCATCGTTTCTATTACCACTGGTAAGCAGTCCAAAACTTATAATACGAAATATGATCAAGTCTGGACAATGAAGAGTTTACAGAGCAGCTGGAATGTGAGTCTTCATGGTCACGACTACAAAAGCAGACGAGTTTACGAGCCTCGGCTTTTGAAACACGTTTTTGTGGACAATGGCCCCCTCGCCGCCAGGCCGACTGTAACAAGCAACCGACAAGGAGGGTGGCCACGAGCGTCATTAGCGTCCTTTGTGGGGAGCGATTCAAAATGAGACGCGGCTTTGTGAAGCCAACATTAATTCTTGGTTTGTGTGACAGTTAGAAAAAGAGGCCCGCATGCATCAAGCTGAATCGGGGTAGGTGGTGGGAGAACAAGGGCCCCTCTGACAGCCACAAAATCTATATGCAACTCTGCTCTTCACCGCTCTCTCCTGCATGATGCGTAAACTGAATCATCCCTTTCACTCCCAACACAGATGTGATAGTGTGCTCTATGGACGATGCTCTCCCATCTATTTGTCTCCTCCTCCTTTCTTTCTACGTCCCTTCCAGCAACATATCGGACTCATCAGATCATTTTGACATAATCACTGCGTATGTCAAACCTACCGAGCGCAGATAATGAAACACTGAGGCTTGAATCATAGACTCAGGTTTGGTTTTAGTCATTTAATACCAATTAATTTCACAGGACCTTTATCATTGATGGATACTCACTGGTGACTTTACAGTCAAGTTACAAAAATACACCTTATCTTGATCTTCAAGTCAAGACAGATATGTCATAAGTCTCCTCCCCAAAAACGCAATCGAGTTCTGGGGAAGGTTAACGGAGTTTCCCTTAAAGCTGAGACCAAACTAACCAGTTCCATGAATCAGCGGGATGGGGCAGCCTGCATGTGGCTGCAGAGGCTAAACCCGGGGCAAATAAAGTTCAACAGGAGCTCAACACTGCTCGCAAAGCATATGCACATGGTCATGATTGAAGAATTTATCGGCAATGTCATCAAATCTGGGCTCCCCTCACCTGAATGATCAGAACAGCACAGTAAGTGAACAATATAAAGTAAATAAGACAAAACGTGCTCCTTTCTGACCGACAGGACATTTGCTCATTAGCCCATCGCCCGCATAAACAATATTTCTGAGAGACCGTGAAGTGAAAATATTTATCTGAAGAGGAGGGGGGAGGGAGGAGAACATTCAATGAAGCAATGAGAGGCCCTGCTGGGAACAGGGAGAGAGTTACACACCACAAAACGACTAAAACATTATCACATATGGTTGTAATATGAATAAAACTCCGATGCATAGGCAACTTTAACTAAATGAAACTGAAAGCTTACATGATAGCTGCAATGCCAGGGGAAATTCAGTATTTCTCAGTAAGTTAGAAGTTATCATATTCCAGAATACACTATTGCAGACATAGACATGTTTTAAATTTAACCAAACAAGGAGATTCCCAGCAGGTCCTTTCCTGTAAAAAGTTCCTGGTATACAGAATATATCAACATAGCGCTGAATGACAGAGACTGTCCAATGGCAGCACTACTTATAAGACCCTGTGAGTCTTATTAATAGCAGCAGCGCGTATACTGCTGAAACAGGTGGCACCAACATTAGCATTTGCCATCCGAGTAGAGCAGGAGGGTCATGGCTGCCTGGATTCCACACACAGCCTGTTGACTGGAATAGTGTTGACGGATAAATACGACCTCTTGGCATGCCTGCCATCCCAGGAAGCCACCTGTACTGACACACACACGCACGCTGGCCACTAACGTCACACCCCTCAGACAACCCAGGACCCGCGCTCCCAGATGTGGCCTTCAACATGTGATCAGCACTTCTCCTCCGGGCTGCTGAAGGGCTCTCGGCTTAGTGAAGGAGCAGATGTGAGATGTGGAGGACATGGTCTATCAGGAGAGCCTTTAAGGGAGTAACGTGCCCACACGTATGCACAGGCTGGCAGATGTGGCAGGTGACCGATGTGGGAATACGGTGTTGACACAGTTCTGCACCTGTCCTACTGTCCTCTCAGGTTACTCATTCAGATCTAGATGCCAATCTGTGAGTAAGACATTACAGCACTTCTGCCTCATCTATGCGTCAAAGTGATGTCATCATCATGAATATTACTAATCTTGAAACATAGATGTATTCGTGAAACTGTGTTCTGTTTACATAGTGTATTGCTTTAGATTAGGTATAATACGTTTCCTAGCAACCAAGTTAAACATTAATAATGTCCTCAACAGTTTCTTACATCTGAATTGTGCAACCTGATCAGAACAACTTGATAGACAAACTTAGTAATGGACTCCTGAATATAGCTGGCGCAACTCAACCCGGTTCCAACGTTAATGTAGAAGTCTGTATTTCTGATTAGGGAACTAAAGATTGAAAAAAGACCCTCTTTTTCCTGCACGACCCATTTTAAGTCCAATCCCCAGACCGAGTTAAGAGTAATTAAAGGCTCATTCATCCCTGAGTGAACTGTACAGCTGTAATTATGACCATATGCTATTCCAAAGACTTTTAATTGCCCAATTAAAATCTTATTAAACTATTGAACAGAGATAGGGGACATTTTGAACTTAACAGTTCAGGGGAGTTAAATTCATCAAGCTTGCTTCTCCTTTGGGGATTGGAACACACGGTCAGAGGTTGGGATTTTCATCACAAGCGCTGCTCCTTAAAACTAACCAAATTTGAAGCTATCAGGAATTACAAATGTATCGATAGATCAGAGCACTATGCGGCTGTGAAAGCGGATGAGCGTATTTCGTCACCTCTGCCTTTGAAACCTTTTTTACAAGTGCCTAAATCAACCCGGTTCCAGAAGTGAATATAACTGAAATGATATTCTATTTCATTCCATTTCCCCTCCGCGCTAATTTCCATAACAGATGTGGAGCCGGCAGAAGCAGCTCGCTGATGAAATGTAAAGTTGCAGCGAGGGTAGGTCTGTCTTCGGGCCTGCTATCACTATCAATGCTGGAGTGGGTGAAAAAACAAGCAGAAGGGGCTGTGCGACAGAAACGTGCATTAGGACTCAAGAGGGGAAAGAACGACAGAGAGGCAAATGAGAGGGCAAAGAGTCCTTTTTCCATTCTAACGATAATAATAGGTCATTGTTTTTGGTACTTGTATGCATCTATGTAGATGGAAATCATCTGAGAGTAACTAATCTCACGTTGAAAATACTAAATTCAATGAATTCTTTACTACTATGTGAGGGTCTTTGGCCTTTCTTGGCTTTGTACCCTCTAATCCTTGGCACTCTAGACAAATCTCCTTGTCAAAACACATCACACAGGGCATAAACCTGGTTTAAAACTATCCATGTGTTGTCATTAATAAACCGCTCAACATAGTAAGCACCGAGGGACTCATGAGAAACTTGCAGAGTTTCGTACTTTTCGCTCTCGTTGCAGTCTTTTCAGTTTTTTAACAATCCAGTGTAAGCTGATCCACTTTTCGGAAGCCGCCTGCCCTGTTGATCGTGCTGAAATGGCCTATTTCTTTTCTACAGTCCGTGTTACTGTTGTCACACCCTTTTGCTGAGAAAATGGAAGACCTACATCTTAAGAGAGTATTCAGGGTTGAAAGCATTCCGTAACCTACTGGAATGATCCACATTACATCTCATTTCTTCATCAATCTCTGTAGCATTTTGACCCTCAGTCCGTTGACCCTTTACAGGATTCCTGACGCTTCGAAAATAGTTGAACTTATAACAAACTGTTCGGATAGATAATACATCT